TTGTCTTATTGACCCAAAGACCCAGATAGATAAAGGGTTCACGTAATATTTTACAGTGTGGCTGGAAGCTGATTATTATAATATCCCCCTTAATTTCTATTCAGATGCCTAAAGATGACGTCAAAACTGATCAATAACATTATAAGGACTACATCAGATGTTCAGTGGCGGTTTATGGTTTTGCCAGACGATTATAATCATCTGAATGCGACAGTAAAGATGTCACTATACTAACTTAAGTACCATACCATGAAGGGGTACGGGGAGTGGAGGTACAGCTCCACGCATTCTTAGTCTCGGAAAAAGATGAACAGCTATGGCTTCACACCGCGGCTACTTCACATCCGAGAGAATAGCCACAGGCACCTTCTAGATTGCGAGCTGGGTAGGCCTGAGAACCTATTTGGACGCTCTGGAGAAGAGAAGCATCTCCGCTCTTACCGAGGATAGAACCCCGACTCCACGACGGTCGAGCGCATAGACTACATTAATCCAGCGTTAAAATCTTTTTGACGGGGTCATCGCTGACTTGCGGTAAGGATTATGATGAAATTTTCTATTAATAATAGTTTTCTGGGATGTAAAGGAGCCGGGATAGACCAGTCGGCCTGGACGGCTGAGGGGTTAGATTTCGAGTCCCGGTAAGGACGAGATTTTTCTCTTTTCAACGTCGTCCAGACCAGTTCTGGGGCCCACCCATCCTCCTATCGGATGGGTATCGGGAGGCTATTTCTCTGGATGTTAAGTGACTAGCGCGTGAAGCTGACCTCAAACTAGTGCTGAGGTTAAGAGAACCTGGATCTACACGTCCACTCCCTCACAAGTGTTAATGGCGTAGCGCCTAATTAGTTTCGCATTTTCTTTTCAGCTTCTTCTGGAATGCGGCCCGTCACTGCAAATGCTAAACTAGGGCTTGTGTTATTACGCGAACGTGAGTTATCCGGAGTGTCCCAGGGTCAATTCTTACGTCTTTCGACACAGCATTGTAGCTTTCTGCCTAACATAAGATTACGTCTTGGCTAATCATTCGTGTTCTGACAGCTGTTCTTCTTTAGAATGAGGAATATTTATCTGGTCAAGACCTGTAGAAAAGTTCATTGATTAAATGTAGCTCCGAATTACTTATAAAGAAGAGATAGGTCATTACGACGTAAAGAAACGCGTGCTGTATATGACACGCTTTGCTAACTTATGCTTATATACTCCTAGTACAATGGCCGTTGAAAACTCAACGGAAAGATTTGGCAGTTCTTATAAAGCTTTCAATGATCCACCCTTACTCATCATGATCACAGCCCTTGAGGGACAATCCTTGAAATGTTGTGGAAAGACAGCTCAATGGAATAAGCACAATAAATGTGCAGAGAATTGCTTTTCATCAGCAAAGGTCTGCACTGTAATACCGATTGAAGCACTATAGCTTCATGCCACCGTGTAGTAATTAACTACCGTTAGTTTGCATCTGGTTTCAGTGACGAGGCTCCAAACCGTGATGCAGAGTAAGTCTTATAAAAGAACATTCATAAAGTAGTCTTTGTGCTTAATTAAGCATGACGTTATGAAGAAAATGGGAGAATAGTGAATGATACATATCCAAGCACACGTAAGTAACCTCGGTACTTGGCGAGGGTGAGTGCTCACGGTCTGACCCTTTTACACCGGGTATCCATCGGACAGGACAGTGGGTGGGCTCCAGAGCCTGTCTCGACGCCGAAAAAAAAAACACTCTTGCCATTGCCTGGAATCTAACGCGGATTCTTAGGTCGTCAGCCCGCAGCCTAGTCCCTTCACTGACGGGACGTCTATCTACAGTCCTTCTATAAGTTCTGTAATGGTTTGATTTGTCGTTATCATTTCAACTTACCTTATCAAAGAACTATAAAGCATCGTACAAACGTAAATCTATCCCTGTAACAGGCCGTGGAGGGCCACAAAGTTCCGAGTCATCGAGGCTCCCACATTTTCTCTAAACAGTAGCCTCACAGATGGCGGTGAGGTCGTGAGCCTTACGCGCAGACGGCCCTTAACCCCCAGGAAGATTCCTGGTACTCATTTCTATTAGAGGCCGAGTCGACCCCAGGGCCACACTGCGGCTTAAGGTAGGTCAATTGTAAAATCCAGTTACCTAATTGGGATAAACGTAAGTTATGTGGTGATTCGCGAAATAGACATCAGCCTTTTCTTTCAGTGTTTCATGACTATTCTTTGAGTACTGACAATCTTTTCTGAGGAAATGTGATGAACAGCATACTATACAAAGGAGAAAGTTTACAATTGACTATTTCTGCGTGTTACTCGTGGGGGATGGTGTTAAACGTCGACCTCGACGAAGAAAACTGGGTAAGTTAAGAGTACGAAGGCGTATACAACAAATGATGGGACCTTCTGTTGCATTCTCGTTTGATGTTGCATAGTATTGAAGCAAGAATGTTGCAAGTAGCATGGGGGTGGGACTGATAAATGCATACAGAGTTTAGGTTGGAAACTCTGATGGGAAGAGACTACTTTTGAAGTTCTAGACGTAAAACCGCGAATACTAAAAATGACCTTAAATAAGCAATATCGGAGGGTGTCACTCTGATTTACCCTGATCATGATAGGGTCCGGTGGCTGACTCTTTTGAACGCAGTAATGAACTTTTTGGTTCGGTATCCGAATACAAGTCTACACGGTGTAACAACCAAGATGACCACAACATGAAGCACAGATTTCTAAAGAGGGTGACAGAATCTTGCTGATTAGCATTGTTCCATGCTGTTAGTTAATTCGGCAATTCACTTCCAGCCTGTGAAAGGGTGCTAAAATTTCGCGACCTTTGTTCTCAATCACGCACAGCTAATTACATTTCCCCTGACAAGCTGATTTGTGTCAGTGTTTCAGAGATTCTGTTTTCAACCCAAGAAACTTATCCAAGACATCAATTACGGAAGGCTTAGCGCTCAGCAGAGCCATCTATGTAACGGATACGAGTACATTGATAAAGTTATCTGTGTTTAATAAATTATGAATTCTCAACCTCGGCCGTGGAATTCGGTGGTTAGCTTTACTCTCTGGCCAGTTTACCCGCGGCTAAAGACTCACCAGTGAGAAATCTATAGCGATCCATAGGTATATGGCCGATACCGGTTCGTGTTTCCTAGAGGTTATAGTCGGTTATAGCCGCGCAGAGTAAAGTTGCCCAGGAACATTCGTCAGGATTCTTTAAAGATATAGCCTTACCTTTATCTTTAGTAGACTCATTACACGCAACTGCTGACACAAACCTCGGATGCAATTTTCTGTGTCTTAATGGCACAAAGTTTCACACTACAGTCATGCCTCTTCTTCCCAGGAACATACCTGAATTCGACTGGGTTCGACATTGTGTACCCTGATAATCGATTTTTACTTATGCGATCTATGATTAGCTTTAGTGTCAAATCGTTGTCAGGAATTGGATGCCATTTTCGCTCTAATAACAAATCAAGAAACAGTTGAAAATAGTTTTCCATCATTACAACATCCCTTAATGCCAGCTTTGAACAGATGAATATATTTTTTTAATTACTGAATATTTAATGTTGCTTAATTGTAGCTTACATTCAAGTTAATGCACATTCTTCATTTCTGTTGGGAGATGTAAAGGGAAGAAATTGGGGGCCCTAGATATTGCTCTAAGGATAATATTAAAATGGACTTAAACTAAATTGGGTGTCAGATTTGGACTAGATTCAAGTGATTCAGGATGGGGCCCAGTCTTTTGAACATGGCAATGATTAATAGGGTCTATAAGGGGGGAAAAATTGACTAGGTGAGGGGATCTCACATTTTAAGGAGTTAGTTATTAATTTAGAAAACTGTGGGTTTCTACCATGTCCCATGTTATGTTTCTCACATATTGTGATGAAGTCTAAAACCATCTTTAAGTTTATTTTGTCTGATGGGTAAGAGACACATGGAATTTATGGACAATTTATTGCTATAATATTTAAGCAATGTTGTAGCATAAAACTAATCATAGTTACAAGAGACCTATAAGATGGCAGAGGTTCAGCTTTTATTACAGTGATAACCTTTGCAAAAAGAGGTATCTCTAAGGCTATTATTATTATTATGCTTATTCTATTAGGAATTCACTCTGTTATTCTATTGCCGGAGAGTTTTCATTTGTCTGAATTTCTGTTGGTATCGTAAATGATCATTAATAAATTTAAAGTGTCTGACTTCAGATCAGGGATAATGGAAGAAGTCAGTTTAACTTGTCTCATTTTGGTCCATCACACTATTAATTACAGAGTAGATAATGAAAAGTTCAGTCCAGTGTGACATAAGAGTTTACAACACTTCAGTCCTCATTCGCCTTACATGTTACGATTCAAAAGAATCGTCTTCAGAGGCGTACCACTACGATAAGGAAATACTGTCACATAAGATATTTTAACAATATGCACTTTAGATATGACTGATGCTCTCTATATAAATTTTGTTATCACGGTTGGTTTTGATGTTTGTCTTAGGCACTCACAATGGTGCTTCTTGAAGTGTAGATTTACTGGTTATTCTGACTGGGGTTTTCCACTGCACACAATATTGTGTTCACTTTTCCATACAGTAGACTCCCAATATATTTAAAATTGTATTAAAATTTCCATGTAAATATTAGTTATTATATTATAATATCTTGAGCCGACATTGGGTCATGTTGTTTTCCTCCTGATGGTGGGAGATGTCATTTATTTCTTGATTTTATGTTCTTATTATTAGTAGTGTAGTTTACATGCGTGCTATGTCGTTTGTACATGGTATCACAGTACAAACGACATAGCACACACATACATTCTTTCAACAATCATGGCTATTGTATATATTGGCAACAAAATGAAGTAAAGTTCATAAAATTTTTGGGTGTTTTATGTTAGGTCTGCAGTAGGAAACAGAAATGGCAAAATTTAAATTGTCACATACACTAGAAGAGAGAAGGAAACTACAGAGGAATATAAAACGAAAATTAAACATCATCATAATGTTAGAATTTTGTAATTTATCATGAGCCATAAAAATTAAAATTTACAAAATGTATTCACAGAATAACAATTCTGATGCATCTGTTCTATTACTGCCTTTGAATTTTCAATTTGTGGATGCTACTTTCTAACATTGTCTTGTAACTAGTGTAAAGGGATGATTTTAAGTAATAACACCATGAGTCCTTTTAAATGGATCAACCTTCATGTTATAGACCATGGGCTGGATGATCAAGTACTCAAGAGTTTGATTTCTGGCAGGTCCAAATAATTTCTGTTATGCACAACATCCAGACCAGGTCAGAGGGTTCACTCAGTCTTCCTAACCAATGGGTACTGAAGGCTCATTCAACTGCAGTAAAGCGGCTGGGATGCCAAGGTTACAAATGTGAGGAGCTCACTTTTGCTCCTTCATACACCATAGTAGTATGGTGCTCTTTTACCTGGAAAATTGTATCTAATCATTCTAACAACATAGAGACACTGTTAATCATGTATGGAATTGGCACAGAATTGCAGCAAGAATAAATAAACATGATGTAAATGTTAAAATATTGTGGCATATTTGCTCAAAGCAAGAACTGTGAAGCCAGAAAACAGCTGTTGCTAGGTAATGGCCGCATGCAACAGTAAAGGAACTGTCACAATACATTGATGTGATGCGTACAGCCTTTGCTAAGGAACAACTGAGTAAACATGTTTCTGTGGAAACTATATATACAACAATACAGGAGCTGTGTTTTTTGTGTGATCCATGCCTGGGGGTTATAAAAAGGATAAAGATAATTTGAGTCAGGTGAGTTTGGAGATAACAGCCGGCTAGGATATAAGCTTGGGAACAGACGAATTGAATCAGAATTGAAAGTCTCTCTAGAGATGGCAGTTGAATGACTGAGAAGAGATGGTAAGAAAGGAATTAGGCTGTGAAAAGAAGACTTCATGTGTGCTACTGTGGCAACGAGACTATCATAAATCCATTTCCAGGATATGACCAGTGAAGACTGAGAACACTAGTGTGTAATGGTGACCTGTAAAGAGTGTAGATCAGTCACAGGGCTATAATTGCCTATATCTGAGTGGTTTGTAAAAGGTGTCAATAAAACCATTCATCCAATCATGCAAAACTAGAATGTGACAAGTAGATACTATAGGGTTCTGACGATGGTGTATAACACACAGAGATACTGGGGTTTCGGACTTTATCTATTGTCCGGATTCTAAATAACTAAGGAAAAAGAAAGCTGGAAACTGGAAATGTTTCTGTCATCAGGTGAGGGAAGACAGTTTATGAAATGTTTCTTTTTCCTTAGTTATTTAGAATCTGGATGATGGAAATAGTCTGAAAACCCAGTACATCTGTGTAACATGTGACAGTCTATTTTTATTTCTTTGAACTAGTAATACATTTCCCTGTTACAGACATATGGCCTATCATGACCTTTTGTAGTGGTATTCTGAATTACAATCAGTTGTTGATGGCCATATTCTCTGTCGCAAATAATCAGTCTTTGCATTCTTTTCAGCCATGTACATAGAATTCCAAACAGATGAACTTATCCCTATGACTTTGTAGCCCATCATTTCCAGATGACGTTGCTTTAGTTGCTGTTCGCCACACAGCTGTGACACACCATTGGTAAATGCATCCTTGATCCACAAGAGAATTGCAATCCTGGAAACAATGTAACACTAATGGAACACCTGTAGAAAATTCAACTGGAAAAATTTGACATTTCCCTTCCCTAGTTACAGTTTCAACAGATTACCTGTCCCTTGATCCACTCTTACAAGCTATAGAACTCGAGGAACACTCTGAAATCACTATTTCACTCAATATAAATGCTGTGGTCTTGAGAAGTTCTAGAAAGACACCTTAAAAGAATATATATTACACTCCTGAAAATGTGGTAAATGACAGGACTTTTTAATATAAAAATTTGCATCTTTCATCTTGTTACTTCATGGGCTGTTTTATTTACTCTTTGCTTATTTAATGATGCTATCAGTACCTCAGATTATGTAGCATCAAATGGTAGGATAATTGATAAATTATAAACTTGAAAGGATATGTAGGGAAGAGGTGAAGACCACATTTAATCCCTTCTGGTTCATTTAGCATGAAATACTTTCCTCAGCCTCAGAACAAGACTGTGAATAGCTCTCATCATTTATTGGTTAAGTGGAAACAGCAACCCCCAAGTCCTGCCAGTCTAGCTCTACCCATTTTGTCATTACATGCTGCAACAACCTTACAAAATTCATGGCATACCACGTGCACATTAGGATTGGTGGAGGGAAATATTGGAAACCCTCATTAATTCAGTTACAGATAAACCAGACTGAAATATGAAAAATACTATTCACAGTTGAGTATATGCTTTAAAAAACACAATGGCATTTAGGAAGGTAGATGAGTTACTTGTCTATTCATAAAAAACCTGACGATTTCTTCAAACCTGCATTTTTATGTCCAAAAACAAAGTACAGCTTCTAAGTCTTCTATCAACAAAATAATAAATGTACTGTGTTCTACAGTTTTTAATGGGATTTTTTATTTATTTTCATCAGCACTATTTACATCATTCAATTTTCATTTATCTGTGTCCTAAGATTTTTTCGTCTTTCAGGGCTACTTTTTGCTTCACTAATCTGGATATCGCTTACTCCAGATCATCTCCCCACTCCAATTACTCCGTATTAGCAAGGGTTTACTGTACCAGTTGTGGACCAAGTATATCCATTGATTGGGAAAGGTTAAGACAATACCCTGGCATTTGTCAAGAAAGAGCGAGGAACGCAGAGAAAGTGGAAACTAGCCGATGATTTGAACCCAGAATCTCCAAAATATGAAAAACTCTACTCCAATGTTCACTTCCATAAACTATTAATACTTATAAAAGGATACAGTTTATGACTGTCTGGTTGTGTGTTATGCATGTTACTTTTAGTAGTTAAAAAAAGAACCAGAAGATGGCAATAATAAACAGCAGTAAGAGGTACTTATCCAAGGAGGATGAGGTGGGCAGGGTATGTAGCACGAATGGGGGAGACAAGGAATGTATATAGGATATTGGTGGAAAAGCCAGAAGGAAAGAGACCACTGGGAAGGCCAAGGGGTAGTTGGGTGAATCTTAGAGAGAGAGGATAGGATGGTATGGATTGGATTGATCTGGCTCAGGATGCGGACCTGCGGAGGGCTCTTGTGAACATGGTAACGAACCTTCGGGTTCCATAAAATGCTGAGAAATTTTTGAGTGGCTGCAGATTGGGCTTCTCCTCAAGAAGGGCTCAGCTCCATAAATAAGTAATTAAGTATGTAAGAGGTACTTATGATTCCGTTGGTACTGCAGTCTCACATTCAGCATTAGTATATTAACTGAAAATGTGATTTCAAAGTGTCCCTAAAGCACTATAATTTGTAAGGGTGGATCAAAGGAAGAGTTATTTGTGGAAACTGTAGTTTCTGATGGGAACAATTAAATTTACTCTTTGAACTTTCAATAACCATTTCACCAGTGGCAATACATTAACTATAAGCTAAATACCGACAGTGGCAATGCCAATTCATGTATGATGATGTGCAAACAATACATTTTAAATTTTAAAGAAATAAAATTCTGTAAAATGTCTCACCTAGTAATATCTGAGTCTGCTTGATGTTTGATACTGACAGGCATCTTGTTCCTATTCAACAATACTTGGAAATCTGTAAAAATGGAGGTGTGAAAACATGAAACAGCTAATTTCAGGAATCATGAGGCAATGATTTCTGAGAACAAATTACAGGTTTCTTAGTATGAAACTATTCTTCCTTTTATTTTCAGCATAATTTGATCACTCAGTTGCATTTTTTTCTTTCATTGCTAGCGGGGTGAGACTAAGTCCCTTGTTCTGCGGCCACTTCTGGCCTATTGTACCAGCCCCAGATAATAGGTGAGGGTGATTGTGAAGCAACTGGTGGAATGAAGATTGGCAGGGGAAACTGAAGTACTCAGAGAAAACCTGCCCCAGCGCCACTTTGTCCACCACAAATCCCACTTGACCAGACCAGGGACTGAACCTGGGCTACCGTGGTGGGAAGCCAGCAACTAACCGCTTGAGCTATGGTGCGGCCGTTCGCTCGGTTGTAAGTAAGGTCATGAACTAAACAAATGCATATGAAATCAAGTTAAAGAAAAGTAACATCAAGACAAAACAGCCAGGAAATACCTGTATTACTCATCTTACAGCTTATTTTTCTTTCCATTTCTTATCACTGATTCTTGAACAGTGATGTCCAGATGGCATTGTTGCCTTGTTGTCTCTTGCTGTAACTGCATTATGTGCCCAATGGTCTCTCTCTCTCACATACACGCACATGCATCAACATTGAGGCTCCCACATTTCCTAGACAATCAGCTCACAGATGGCGGTGAGGTTGTCAGCCTTATGCACAGGGTGCCATTTAGCCCCAGGAAAATTTCTGGTACTCATTTCTGTTAAAGGTTGAGTCAAGCCCAGAGACACAGTGTGGCTGGAAGGATTAGATCAACTGAAAAATCTAATGACCACACTGGGAATCAAAAGTACAATCTTCCAGCTTGTAGCATAGTGCCTCGACCAATGACATTCATCAAACCCCTTTCCAATTCCAAGAAATAACTTTTCTAAACCGAAAGAAAATGGGTTCTCTACGTTAAATTGCTGACAACAAACATGTGAGTGCTTCTGATGTGTTTCGTGTTCATGTTGGGTGGGATGAGACGTGTGAGAGTGTGCAGATATAGGATACAATCACATAGGAGATACCAGGCTGTTAAGCTGCACCCCAAGAAGCATCACTATGCTAGTGCATCTGCCCAACCAACATCTGAAACTATGAAGAGGTTGGCATAGCAACATTGCTCTAGACTTCTACATGGTAGATGCTTGGTCTGAATCTTGACTAGGATACCAGCTATACTGACTGATGATCATCTTGGTTTTCTTCAGTCCTTCCAACCAAATGTTGAAATAGTATTTCAATTAGGCCATGTCTACATCCTTCCAAAATCATTCCATTTCATCATTCATCGATCATTCTACAATCCAATTACATATACTGACAGTGTTGACTGCCTCTGTAGTCTAGCGGTCAGGGTTCCTGCCTACAGATCCAGATGTCTGGGTTCAATACCCAGCACTACCAGGTTGTCTGGGAAGTAGTGGGTCTGGAACGGGGTTCACTCAGCCTCGTGAGGATAACTGAGAAGCCATTTCAAGGATATAGCGGCACTGGCCTAGAAAACTGAGAATAACGGCTGTGGGGATCCATTGCGCTGAATATGTGACACCCTCTATCCACTAAATTTGGCACTAACTTCGCTGACATGTGGCACTGTATAGTTTGCTTGCAGACTCTAGCCACAGAGTTTGTTTTTTGTTGCTTAATAACTAACAAAAAAAGGAGCAGGGAACATCTAAGACCTAACTGTAATGATATATATATATATATACTTGTTTTGCCTGATAAGAGAAGTGCAATGCTGTGCTATTCAATCAGCTACAAACAGTTTCATCTGTATCAAGGCTCAGAAATCAATGTCTCCATGTTCAACACTAAGGAAGTGTTAGAAGTATTATACTGAAATTCTAGAACACCAAATGAACTTACCTACTCCATAAAAGTATGGAGAGTACATATTTACTTGGACTAACTTTTGTGTTCCCATCACAGAACTCAAACTCTGATGGACATCATCATGAAAAGGACTCGCTTTAGGAGATCCTGTGAAGTAAACAAGACAATGGGTCAACCTATCTCATGTTTAATTTAACAGTACTTACTTACTTACTTACTCATGGAGCTGAGCCTTTCTGGAGGAGCTGCCAATTCTGCAGCTACTCAAGACTTTCCCAGCATTTTATGGAATCCGAAGGTTCATTACCGCGTTCACAAGAGCCCTCCACTGGTCCCTATCCTGAGCCAGATCAATCCAATCCATACCATCCCATCCTCTCTAAGATCCATTTTAATACTGTCCACCTACCTACGCCTTGGTCTTCCCAGTGGTCTCTTTCCTTCTGGCTTTCCCACCAATATCCTATACGCATTCCTCATCTCCCCCATTAGTGCTACATGACTTGACAACCTCATCCTCCTTGACTTGATCATTCTAATCATACTTGGAGAAGAGTAAAAGTTATGAAGCTCCTCATTATGCAGTTTTCTCCAAGCTCCTGTCACTTCATCTCTCTTCGGTCCAAATGTTCTCCTCAACACCCTGTTCTCAAACACCCTCAGTCTGTTTTCCTCCCTTAATGTCAGGGACCAAGTTTCACACCCATACAGAACTACAGGCAAAATTATAGTTTTGTATATCCTAATTTTTATGTTTTTTGACAACAGATGAGAAGACAAAAGGTTCTGGACTGAATGATAGCAAGCATTACCCGAGTTCAATCGCCTCTTAATTTCCTCCTGAATCAGGTTTTGATCTGTTACTGTTGTTCCCAAATTTAACAGTACAGCATTCATAAAACCTAACTTCTTTACTCTGTAATTCTTAAGCGCTGGGTCAAGAACATAGCTCTTAACTTAAAAATATGAAGCGTGAGATTAGCAGGGGTTAGCTGGAAGAAATGTAGACAGAAACCTTCTTCAATTCCACTTTGTCCACCAAGAATCTCAAATGAAGTCTCCTGGGATCGAACCTGAGGCTCCGTGTCGAAAGGCAAGCATCTAAGCACCTGAATTGTGGTATGGCCACTGACCTGTATAAAATGGAAATGATGCCAGATGCAGAAGAAACAAATATTCATAAAATCATGATTACCTCTGTGAATTAAAATGTTGATGCCAAATTACATTCATGACACAAAGCCATTATACACACAGATCCTTGTGAATTAATTGTGCTGATAGCAACTGACTCTGTATGCAAGGCATTTGCAGAGACAGTAATCAAGGGCACTTTGACCTATCTGAGGACAGCACCGTACAGTGCCTGGTGTTCCATTAATGTAATTTTGCAATTAAACTACCTAAACAACATTACTTAGAGCTGCAACTTGTTGACAGTATTTCTCATGGAACCATGGTACGTCAGTCTCTGGATAATCAATGCATACTGCACGGTTAAGATGCATCATCGCATGTCGAACACGGACACAGTATGATTCCTGTAAAGACAAAACAGGCATGTAAACATTGTGACAATTCACATGAACTTAACATTTCAGTTAACTCTGGTAATATTGGCTGTGCTTTCGAAGTGACACTGTGTCAAACTGGAAGTTCCACTTACAGTGCAATCCACCTAAAAATGGAATCAACATTACCATCACATGGCTCTCAAAGCTTGAAATCGCCTTCAAATCTGTTAAGAGTTTATGAGAAGAACTTCAAATTCTGAAGTTAAACTTTACTGAATGTCGGCTTTAAACTCAATATCGATCATTACAAGGAACTGTTCAAAATTTCATTATAACAGCAATTCCTTGAGGTACCTTGGCATAACAGTGGAGCATCTCTTCATCCAGTCTCCCAAGAAAATCAACAGTGAAGATAAAATGAACAAGTTCCTCTGGAAGACGATGAAAGAAGCACAGTGCAATGGCTGCCTGAAGTAATGTGAGCACTTGCATTCGTTCTTTATCCCTGTTTTGAGAAACGATAGATCTCATAAGCGTAGTATGTATAAAGGTAATTTTTCCATAACCAACAAGTTAGTAATTGTTTACAGAGCATAACAATTCTGGCACATCTGCCCTGTTCTTGCCTTTACACATCATAATATTCACTTTTGCTTAATTATCTCAAAAACTCTATGACCTGCAGGAAAGGTGTATTAGACAAAATATATCTTTCATTTTTCTGCACAACATTATTTGAAAATGTTTCCACTCCAATAAGTATTTAGTAAGTTATGCTTCAGACACTAGCAGTAATGCACATAGCTTGTCATGTGAAGTATCTGTTGTTGCTGATCAATTTTAAAAAAAGTTGGACTCAGTTTGCTCAGGCAGTAATATTTCTGACTCATACTCAGGAGGAGCATATCCTGACAAATGTTTCATGGTTTTCCTCAGTTCCATCAGTTAAGTACCAGGACAGAACTTCTAACTACGACCCTTCCTTTCCAATTCATAATTTCTGACATTTGGCATTTTTAATCCCAGTTGCTGAGAGCATGTTTAAATGAACAACAGATAAATAAATAAAACAAAAAACTGGATATAATAGTCTCTAGTGAAAATGTATTCAATAATTCTCAAATTGTTACATGATAGGAGATGGATGGAAAGACAGAAAACAGGCATGATGAACCTAATAGGTGCACTTATCCAATTTCTTGCTGTCAATGCACCTAAGAAAACAGGGATGTCCCAACATATGTTCCAGCAAATTTTTAAGATAGGATAATATTTTATTAACATTGACAAACTGAAAATCATTTCCAAGTAATTCTGTGACTGCTGCTTACCTTAAAATGACATTTGATGCAACAGAAAAAAAAGATTCAGCTTGTGCTGGCATGTAACCAAGGGAGTAACACATATACAGCAGTTTGACAGCTGTGTCACCCAGAATATGATCACCATTCTCAACAACATAGTTCACCAGCTGATCCGACATACTGGGTATCAAACAATTTGTCGTCAACATACTGGCTGAAATATCTCGCAACAGTTTCGAAGAAGTAACACCACTCAATTTTTCATGTCTGAAATTGAAACTATTTGGTAATATTCTTTATAAACACTTTGAAGGACTTGATAATAATTGTAAAATGTAACATTTATCAGTCTGAATAACTATATAGTGCCACACAAAAATATTTCACTATCAGCAATAAATACAAAAGCCATATTACAGCATTTTACATCACTTACTAATGCAGTTATAACTGTCCAGTTAAGTTCATCCTTTCACTGTACAAATTCAGTAGGAAAATTTAATGTTTATAGAAGTAATTAAATCAGTAAACTGAAGTTTTATATTGTAAAAGCATTACCTTTTAATTAAATTCTCAAACAGCTGTGTCTCCCATGCATTGCTCCTGCTGATATAAGTTCTCATCATGATGGTTATATCTGGAAGTGATAACACCTCTTCCTTTAAATGTTGTTGGGCACAGCTGTTCATGGCTGTATCTATCTTTGTGAATACGTCAAGAAAGCGTGAAGAAATGCTTCTCTGGGACGCCAGAATTTTACCAATTTGAAGTCCTCTTGAAATGTACATGCAGTCAAGTTTGCTGAATTGTAGCTTCATATCCAATACTTTGCATACCATTTGTGTTAGGGCAGATTCAGAAATGACAGACCTTCTTTGACCAATATTACCATAAGCTAATATAAATGAAGTGACTTGTGCAAACTTTGATGGCAATATGCCTATGGTACCATTCTCCACTTCATTCCATAGCCACTGGATCATCTGCCTTTCTAGCTCATAATGACGGTATCTTCCACTGAGATTATTGTTGAAATACATGTATCTTTAAGGTGAGAAAATTATGCATTAATTGTGAGATATGAGGTTCTTACACTCTCTTCTCAGATGTGATGTCATGTGATCTGGTAGACGGGAGCAAGTGCAGAAGTGAAAATTGGATGTTCAATAGTTTCTGAGACAGTAACAAGGTACCAAATAGAGTTCCCAGTCAGTTAATCCAAAGGGGCGTCTGAAAGGACACTTTTCTACCAGGCTACACTGTGTCACATCTCAGAAGACAGTAATCTTCATGCATTAGGTACAGGTAAGGTAAAGTTGTTCTTGTGCTTAATTAATTAAGCACTACTCCATGAAGGCGCATGGAGGAGTGAATGTATTGATCCACACCTTCTTGACCTTGGCAGTAGCAGGAGGTGAGTGGTGAGCCACACCCTGGCCGTTTTACCCCTGGGAAAAAGCCCCCACCCCCCTCCCTTAAACACTCGATAGGAAGATGGGTGGGCTCCAGGACTGGTGTGGACAACATAGAGAAGAAAAAATCTTGGTCCCACTGCGATTTGAACTCTGATCCCTCAACTGTCCAGCCTATAGCCAGTCACTATACTGACTGCACTATCCCTGTTCCAATCTTCATGCTAATTAACTCCATGGAGCAGAGACTTTCTTCAGAAGCTGTACCTGTTTGCCTCTCAAGAAATTCCCCACCTTCCACACAGTCTGTGGGTTCTTTACCTTATTATCACAGAAAAGGTTCAAGGTGTCAACAAGATATGTTCTTGTGGACAAAGTGGTGCTTGGGCGGGTTTTCTCCGAGTTCTTCGGTTTCCCCTGCCAATCTACATTCCACCAAATTCTCCATCATCATAATCACCCGGGGCAGGTGAAATAGGCCAATCAGCGGCCGCCATGCCAAGTGGACCCAGTTGGACTCCACCCCCCAATAAGCAAAAAAGATATGTTCTTCCTTTCATTGATATTTTGATATGAGCCCTCAACTCATCTGCAAACGCTCCCTCCTGTGTCTGATCCACTATACATGAACTAAATTTACAAGCATTTATTACAAATATTCTTATATTATTAAGAACCAGGGTATCCCAGTAACTGTAGACTTTAATGACTAGCTAGTGGTTGGATGGCTGGGGTTTGATTGTCAGTAGAGACATAGATTTTTCTCTTCTGCACCATGAAAAGATTTGGAATGGGGCCCACTCAGCCTCCTACCCAACAGATACTGGGGTTGGGGCATGAAGCTGACAACCCACCTCCATCTAGTGCCCAGGTTCAGAAGGCATGGAGCTATACCTTCATTCTACCCCTATGTCTTCTGGTGTGGTGCTTAATTAAGAACAGGCAGAACTTCATCTCCTACCTTTAATCTTAAAGAATTAAATCGAAAAAGAAATTATTCAAAATTAGAAACAACTTGTATTGTATAAACTCTAACACATAAAAATCTGTCAAATACAACTTTCCATTTCATTCCAATGACATGCTTCCCTGAAATACTTATTATCTTTACTTAAGTGCAAGCAACATTTCAAATGAGGATATTCAATGATAAATGTTAATTACAGTCATATGTTCAAAAATAATGATAACCCCTGAAGCCATATACTTATTTATGGTTTACTTAAAATCAATGTCAGTTGCTAGCATCTGCCTGGAGTGACTGAGTAAATTGATGAAAAATCTGTAAATAGTCTTGAACACAGTTTGAACACGACTCTTCATGAATACAAGAAAGAAGTGTTGCTGACTGAGACAATTTGTTCAGTTCTCATGAAGTACTTTGTGTGAAAAATATCAGGTGAATAAAACAAAAACTTTCCATATGGAAGTCCAAGTTATAGTAAAATGTGAATTTCCTGAACTAACCTATGACTAACTTGGAACAGTTTATAATATTCCCTCTCTGTTGGCATATTCTGCATGATGTCAAGGGTTCGTGTCCAGAATGCATCATAAAGTTCGACATTCGACGTATTTAGCTGCCGCAGAATCCTGAAAAGCGCTGGAAAATACAATGCAGAGCTATATTCTTCAATGTGTTGTTGTACAAGCTTTTCAAGTGCCAGCTTTTGTGTTGGAGATGAGAAAGAGACCAGACATGACAGCAAGTCTGTTATGCATTTGAATGCTATAGGACTGCTGGAAACTCCTTCATTTTCCACTTGCGACAGCAACTGGCTGGCAGCTTCATGCATTTCATCCACAATGTCAGCAGGCTCCAACATGTTCTGAAGAACCTGTCAAAACAGTTGGCAGCTATAGTGACCTTCTTTCAAAACTGAAGTTCACATCTACCACCCTCCCAAAAAAGTTTAATGTTACAGATATGAGGGCTAACTAATAAGTAATATATTAGGGTATGTCACATCTGAAGTAAGAAATACTGCACTGCCATAACCTTCATTTCCCACTGTTAAACTGTTCCTTCTGTACAGTGGTAAATATACCGTATGTCCAAAAAGTATCTGACTTTATTTTGTTCCGCTGTAAGTAATGGCCAAAGGGTTGGGGAAACTGAGTGTAGTGGTAGAAGGGACTTTCATGCGCATGCGTGATTTTTTGCTGACTCGCAACACTGCCGAATGCGTCTGTGGCTGCCAGATAGTGAAGTGGTGTAACACGTGTTCATCGCATTCTCATTTCGCTCAAGATGACAGAACGCTTGGAGCAGCGATACTGCATTAAGTTTTGTCAGAAACTTGGGGATACCCAAGCGGAAACAATTCGCAAAATTCAGCACTGGCGATGATGCAATGGGGGTTACTCAAATTGAAGCGGTTCAAGTGCTTTAAACATGGCCGTATGTCGGTGGACAGTGACCGGCGTTCCAGGAGACCATCAACGATCTGAAATGATGTTACTGAAAAAGTTTGGACATTGATCATGGAGGGCCATCGTTTGGCCATCCGTGAAGTTGCTGATGAGGTTGGGATCAGCAGAGGCTCTGCAAACACAATTTTAACTGAGGATTTGGGCATGCGAAGAGTGGCAGCAAAATTTGTGCCCAAACTGCTTTTGCCGGAGCAGCAACAACTCTGCCTTGAGGTCGCGCAGGACATGCTGGAGTGCGCCAACAGGGATCCTGAGTTCCTGAAGACTGTGATCACTGGTGACAAGTTATGGGTGTACAGATATGACCCGGAAACCAAGGTCCAAGCGTCACAATGGAAGCATCCAACATCCCTGAGGCCCAAAAGAGCAGAACAGGTTCGGAGCAATGTGAAGGTGATACTGACTGTTTTTTTCGATTACCGGGGTGTTGTGCATCATGAGTGCGCACCACTAGGCCAGACTGTCAATAAGCAGTACTACTAAGAAGTCCTCTGCCATCTTCGTGATGCAGTTCGGCGCAAGAGACTGGAGCTGTGGGACGCACACAACTGGCAGCTGTATCATGACAATGCCCCAGCCCATTCATTGCACCTGATCCAGGGTTTCCTGGCCAAGCACAGCATTCCGCAGGTTTGCCAGGCTCCCTACTCTCCTGACATGGCTCCTTGTGATTTCTGGCTGTTCCCGAGATTGAAGACACCGCTAAAAGGCTGCCATTTTGACAGCCACGAGGACATCATACAGAACACGATGGCGCAGCTGCACCCCATTCCAAAAGAAGCCTTCCAGAATTGCTTCCAGCAATGGAAGGACCGCTGGGCTAAGTGTGTGGAGTCACAAGAGGCCTACTTTGAAGGCAATTAGGTATTGTAACCACCCTGATACAGAACTTTTATTCCCGGCCCAAGGTCGGATACTTTTTGGACAGAGTAGTATATACTACCTGCAGCAACATTAAAAATCTATGCACTTTGCCCATACAGTGTATTTATGTGTTTCTATAATTTTCAGAAAAACAGCCATTATTTCCATATACAGCATTAATCAGCCTGTCTTTGTAATGGAGATGCAGTGTATTTTCTGTAAGGTAGTACTGAATTTTTAAATATTAATCAGATTATTATAAAAGAATTGTGTAAAAAATTACCTTGTGAATGGTTATGAGATCTGTCGGTGACACTCCACAAATATTTCCTTTCAGAACCAGAAGAAGTTTCCGTATGGTGGGGTCATTCTGGTGGGACCATTGTGGCAGGTTAAGGAATCTAACAGCTTTAGTAATAGCTTTGGAATCCTGTGCTGTGATTATTCCATTGCCTACTAGATCATCTACTTTGGATTTGTATGCATTCAAGAGAGTGCAGTTGACTAACTGGCAAATATTAATGAGGCATATACTTAGGTATTGGAAGTCTGCTACATTGTTGCAAGATTCTGGAAAGGAAAATTTTCATATTCACTTCATTTGTCTTCAGACTCTTCAACCTGGATGAGATCTGAGGTTAGACAAAAGTGAGATGGTGGATAATGTCCAAAATATCAGCCAAAAAGAGAAATAATTAACTTCATGTACTATTCACAGTAAACTGTTCTAGATGGTAAAGTTGTAGAATATGGCTTCAGATCCAGACCAAACCACATGTATGGGAAGTTTCTGATTTCACAGTGTTCTATCCTGGTTATGTTCAGCCTGGAGGACCTATACCATATTCTGGATCTTTATCTAAAAATTCTACAACTTGAATCTGTATTCTAAGCAGTAACAAAAATGAAGAACATGTGTTTTGGGCACGTTTGTTGTACAAAAAGGAATGCCTTTTAAAGGTGTGTGTACTCCATTATGGAACATGTTCTTCCATCCTTTTATACTCTAACAAAGTCCAGCATTAAACAACGTACCAATACCAGCCAATATGCGTGGCAGCATCATCTTGGCAACAAAGATTGGCCACAGTCCTCTTCTGCTGTGAACTGCCACAGCAAAACGAGACAGGGCTGAAAGAGGAAACCTTGGTCCATAACATTCCACTGCAGATTCACAGCGACTTATTAATTTCTGCATTACAGGATGATACACACTCACGCCCATTTTATTTAAATACAGCAGAGTTGCTGTGAGTGCATCTACAGACATATCTCCATTCCATCGGTCCACCAATTGCAAAAGCATCTCAAAATCTTGATGTCCACACACCTCATTAATATAGTTGTTAAGAATGTTACACGAGTTTAACAGGGAACTAGTAACTTGGTTTTGGCATAAATCAAGAACATTTACTTTAGAGAAACTCTTCTGAAGATCCCACAAAACAACCACAACCTGGCTCACTAGTTGACCGTCTAACTCATATTCATGCTCCTTCACGAAATTAAAAACATCTTGTACTGAAGTAGATGCATTCAGCTGTTTAATAAGAGGGTGTTCTGAATTACAGCACAGTAGTTGTCTAAAAGATAATGTCTCAGATTGACTGAAGAGATCAATTGCTTCTTCTGGGGAATCTTCTAATTCACTATCACTTTCACTTTCAGCTCCTTCATGTACGTACTTAACTTGGACAATACATGTCAATTTTGTACTACATGGAATTAGGAACTGCCTAAACATTGGCAACATGGAGAGTCTTCTTAGGCTTTTAGGCACTAAACCGAAATTAATAAACTTTCTTGAAAATAATGTTTGTGTTTTGTGGAGCCAGGACACACGTCCAACAACCGAGCGTCTCCCTATATTGAACCACGTCATAATGTTGCCTGTCATTACATATTTTTAAGTTGTAATATCAACATTCTAGTTCTCACGTACACATTCGTATAAAGCTCCTATGATGCAACAACCATTTGTTACCCGGAAAAGGAGAGAGGTGTCCTGTATATGAAACAACTTCTAATACTACTATTAATCCATAAAATATCGTGACTGGTATCACAGAACATTACACTTTGTATCTATTCTTCTTCAAGGTACAAGTGAAATATATACTGTGTGTATGCCAAAGTTAATTGTGCAGAACACCCTTGCTCTATAAACCTAACCCTCAAAACCCACATCATAACAACATGCTCAACACTCCTGTGAACTAATTCAATCGATTAAAATTTCCAGCTACACAGTAACCCACGTGACTGCCCCATTGCCAACATGTGGTAGAAAACAATACCAACACAATTGTGCTAAAACTGAAATACATGTCAGAAATTGGAGCAATGATTCCCATATGACGTCACGCAACACGCGAAAATAATTTCAGTGTCTCTTGGTTCCTTGTCTTTATATTTACTGGTATTGATGTCCATCGATATATCTCAGGGTTACTAGGATTTTACGTCAAAATGAAGTTTGTAAATTCAGTTTCCCAGTGCATACTCTGAGTCTTCTGAGCGTGTTCTGACCGCAATGTAAATAAGAAATGCATCAGCCGAATGTTCACAGGCATGTATGTATGTGGTATAGTGAAATTATGTGTTGGTAGGGTTGGTAGTACCACAAGTTTTGTTAAATGAAGAGCGGCAATGCGTTGGTTGAATGTAAACGTCGAACGAGCAATATTAAAGTTGCATTGAATATAGGAATTAAATGAATTATATACCAAATATAAGCAATTGTGCAACAAAAGTAGCAGGAGTACTGGCTTATATGGTCCAGTACGGTTGTATAACCCACTGTGCTTTGGAATATATTGGAGACTTTGTGATAGTAAATATACTTATTATCAGTGCCTTTGGTTTATTTAAGTATCCCAGAACGGCCTACAGCTTTTCAGTTATAATAATTGTGCTGTGGGCATATTAAATATTAAGTTGGCATAAATTTTGCATAGTTTCTGTGGGCAGGTATATAGTGAGTCAAATCGTCAACTCAATATGACGTTTGAGGTTCTCACGGCCGTGACTGGGAAGTTGTAGTTTGGAGATAGGTATCACTACACCTCTGCGTCTCATCACAGAAGTCCGTATCATCATAGTTTTATGAATTTCTTTATCGCATTTTATTTCTAAAAAATGTTTACAGCTTATTTAAAGAAATCCCTTCCCAGTCCTTCATTGGCTGCTTTAATGGCAGTGGAAATATTATGAAAGAACAAAACTTTGAAAGCCATAGCAGATTACAGTTGAACATTGTACTAATTTTCTTTGACTTTCTGTTTAAGATTCTATTTCAGTTCCTTATATGAAAACGGACCCCCCACCCCCACCCTAAACATGGCCTGTTTAAGATTTCATCAGAAAGAGATTCTATCAAAAACAAGAAGTCACAAATTATCAAATTGTGGGATATGTACCTAGTACTACTGTATCAGGGCCCCAGTATTCACAGGTTGCAACAGTTTCTGTGAGAGAAATAAACAATATATTGGTATCTGGAGGACTGTGCTTATTTTGCAGTGTACTGGCCCTTCAATGGAACCAACAATTTATACAGATGATATACTTTTGACTGAACATATAACTCCAAGGTTTCAACGCATCAAGAAAGGTGACATCATAATTGCGAAATCTCCATCAAATCCTCGAATACATATTTGTAAAAGAGTTGCAGGGATGCCGGGTGACAAAGTGTTAGTGGGATTTTCATCACAAGTGGTACGTTTAAAAGCTTGTACATTACTGTAAAACGTTGTAAGGTTACTGTCTGTTTCTTAAATTGTTAAAATGGTGTCCAGGGCGGTCTGTGTGAGATTGTCTTGCAGTGGACCCCTGCCATTCTTGTTCCCATTAATGCTCCATACTCTCCTATCTCTTTCTTCCTGAGATGTGGAAACAGATATTGTGCTTTAAGCCTTTTTTTGCACAGTGCTTTAGAGTGTTTGTTATATCTCGATGTTTTTCTGGAGTGGATGAAGCTTTTGCACACAGATTTCACAGAAAATCGCAGTACCTTGTGGAATCGTTTTTCATGGCTTTCTGGATGCAGTAACAATGTATGTCATATTAGGTAAACACAAATTGAATTTTTTTAAAAAACCCTGAAGGGGCTAATATTAACTCTTCCTTGCCCCCAACAGATGCCAAGCAGTAAATAATATCTTGTGTACACATTATGATATATAAGGAGCAACAGCATTTTATACCATTTGTATATTATGTGGCAGTAGGGTAGGTCAGTGTGATATGCAGGTATGTTATGTTATGTTATGTCAGAAGATGTCTGGAAAGTACAGTTTTTGACTGACTGGTGAGCTGAGTCAGTATTTGTTGGATCCTCTCCGTGTATCACACTGAATTGTCTTAATATTCCAGGTTCCTCGTGGTCATGTGTGGCTTGAAGGGGATAATCGCAATAATTCAGCAGACTCGAGGATATATGGTCCTGTGCCACAAGGTCTTATTCGTGGGCGAGCGCTTTGCAGAGTGTGGCCACCAAAAGAAATAAAAATGTTAACACACAAAGAGACTCAAGTCTTGACGAGATAACTTATCAGATATATTCGCAGCATATATCTTTATTTCTTTGCTCTTCTAGTACTTAAGTGTTTTTGAAATCAATTATAATAAATTCACTTTTCATTCTTCATGCTGGTAGATGGACAAATAAAAATTTTCTGTATATGTTGCTTAAAACTGGGCTGAGAATTCTGTGTGAAAACATGCTATGTGCTTCTGTATGCGGTTTAAAATTGTAATAGTCCTAAAGGAATATTTATTAATGTGTTTTGAAATATTTGTGCTCTTCCTGTGGCCATCTGCCCTCTTGAATTCTCCATTTTATTAGCCTGCTTTCCTTATTTTGACAAAAAAAAAACAAAGGAGGCTTATGAGACTGTGTTGCTGTCTGTGTACCCCTCAACTCCTGAAAGAGTGAATAGTTGAGCTACAAGAGACAACTGTTACGATACTATGCAAACATATATGTGATGTGTGACATGACACCTTAAAACTGGTATAGTGCAGTCATGGAAGCATCACAAAGACGACAATTGCTAGGCAACGGCTTGGTAAACCCGTGAATGCACATGCAACAATAGAGGAATTGTTGGAAGCAGTCTTCTACTTATCCTGATTTCTTTTAAGTAATATGCAGGTTTTGATCCAAATAAGTTGGTAGATGCAGTTTGTGTTGTGGGGATTTAGTAATGGCGGCCACTCTCATATGAGGTTACGGGCTTTTCCATTGTGGCGAGTATTTAAAAGTCTTTGCTATACACGTTTTAAAACTTTATTTTTAGCTTACTTTCCTTATTTTGAAAGAATAAAAGGAGGCTTACGTAATAACCTTGCTGTCTGATAGGCAATGGCTACAACTCGTGTATATTTGCCCTATCGTTGCCATGTCAGTGAATTCAAATTCATTTGTCCTTTCTATTAGAACACTACATGTTTCTGCCTGGCTGGCCATCATCATGTGTACAAGTTATAGTGGACACTGTGCCTCCTAGCGACGCTCATACATTTTGTCGTCATTCGTTTTTCTTTGGTTGCTTTAATTGCAAGTAAACACGCTCCCGTGGCAAAGAATTCACATGCAATAATAGAAGAATTGAACTCTTCGATTTCTATACGATTTAAACACCCAGTATTGGCGCGTAATGTCGTGTGGTAAGTTATGTCCTGCCATCTGTACGTAATTGTTCAAAGTTACATTCGAAGAGCTATGAGTTTCAGGTTTTGACGTAGTTGGAGGGAGAAGGACAAATACCAGACGCTCTGCATACGATTCGTCTTCCCCTTCATCGCTGAGTGTTCTGATCGTTCTGATTATTTTGAAACTCATCAGTGTACAGTGGCTATATAGACGTGATTGGTCGTTCTGGCGTGTGTCAGTCTGCGATAGGTTTCTCACGTTTGTTGTTTGCACGTAGGTGAGTTTCATAAAGCAGGATAAAAGATGAGAACCGTGAAGCGTTCGGAAAATCGAAGTTAAGTGCAAAAAGGAAGGTGCCGGTGTGTTAGGGTGGTCGTTGATTGTTATGTGAATTGTTCAGATGTGTTAGCGAAGTAGGCGTAGATGCGTGTGAGTGGTAGTTTGTGGAGTTAGAATTCAAATTCTGCAAGGTGAGGCAGACTAATTTAATTACATTTTATAAACTATATTATTTTGGAATTGTTTTCGGCTTAAGAAAAGGATCTTTTAAGTACGCGAATTAAGTTATTAAGCCTGAGGAAATCGAAATTTGTGCACTAAATCTGCAACATTTTAATGTATACATGTATATTGTATAAATAAGGGAGTCCACCAAGTGATTTTGAATTCTTTTTGCTATATTTTAGTGACGATGCTGACTGGAAGGACGAAGCACATTCTTCACTGCATTCTACTTTTCACAGTAATTGCTGTATTTGAAATTTTCACCGGAGGTGTTCGATTAGGGAACAGCAGACTAGAAGAATTTGATCCATGGGATAGGTATGGATATGTTGGAACCTTTGTGCTGTACTTGTTACGCCTCTTAACCTTCCTTCCACTACCGCAGGTGCTTTTCAACTTCGCAGGACTCACACTTTATAGTGCATTCCCCGATAAAGTGACACTTAAGGGTTCACCATTATTGGCTCCATTCCTCTGCATCCGAATAGTGACAAGGGGAGATTATCCTGAATTAGTTCGTGTAAATGTTGCTCGTAACATGACCTGTTGCACTGAGGCTGGTCTAGAAAACTTTCTGATTGAGGTTGTGACGGATAAAGCTATTGGTTTGACACCACATAGGCGTGTCAGAGAGGTTGTGGTTCCTCCATCTTACAGACCAAAGAGTGGGGCTCTGTTTAAGGCCCGAGCGCTTCAGTATTGTTTGGAGGATGGTGTGAACATTCTAGCTGACACTGACTGGATTGTGCATCTTGATGAGGAGACGTTACTGACTGAAAACTCTGTTAGGGGAATCATCAATTTTGTGTTGGATGGGAAACATCATTTTGGACAAGGTCTCATCACTTACGCCAATGAAGACGTAGTGAATTGGGTTACAACACTTGCTGATAGTTTCCGAGTGGCTGATGACATGGGCAAGCTACGATTGCAGTTCTCCATGTTCCACAAACCATTGTTCAGCTGGAAAGGATCCTATGTTGTGACTCAGGTTAGTTAAGTTTTACTTTATGTCTCGTTACATTCAAGAGGTCACAGAGGGAGAGTTTGCTGTTACATGTCATGTTGCATAATATGTAATTGTACTATATGCATGCAGCTCTGGAAATTTTAAACTTCGAGGAGACAAATGAAACAAAAGATATACTGCAGAGACTGTGGTGTAGGAGACACAGCTATGCATGTGTTCCAAGAGCATGTTATCATTACATTGTCGAAATATAACAGTAAACAGATGTGGACAAATATGGTAACCTGCTTACCAGTGGCAACAGAAAAATTGTACCTGGCACCTGATCTCCTACTCAGTATCCAGGAGTCTTCCAGCCTGGTTACTTATGGCTTAGAAAAAATGGCAAACCACATTCAGAGAAGTTTTAGAGGAGCATAATTTATAAGTCATATTAGTTATTGTCTCTTTTAAATTTGATTTGTCTTTCCTATTATACATGTGATTCCTATCCTGTGTGTGTTTAGGACAAACAGTACAATAGGTATAAATGAATCTTGTACATCGAGTGAAGGCGAAAACGACAGCAAGGTGCCAGGTGACATATTTCTGATGTCCAAAATATCTGGATACCACATTTCAAAATATTTTTGATCTGTATAATAAATATAAATTTTGTCAATATACGACTTTAATCTCTGTCATAAAAATAATCTCTAAAATCAGTAGATAGAGAAACAGAAGAAACTTCCATAAGATGACCTCAAGGTTGTGACTGACTCTCCCCTCCAATCGTTCCCAGCTCACCACCATTGTGACTGAGTCTCCTCTCCGATCATTCCTAAGTCACCACCATTGTGACTGACTCCTTCTTAGTATTTCCATTTCATCACTGTGACTGATTCTCAGTTGTGTGCGTATTTAGTCACAATGATGAATTGTGAATTTGTAATGACTGGGAAGGAAAACGCTCTCATGACGTAAAGAGCTGTCTATGGTCAAGGGTTAGTAGTAACCCGGACTATGAATCAGATGCACTGCTGTGAGCTAGCTTACTCAGCAGTGAACAGTTCCCATTGGAGGTCATAAGACCATTGTGAACTGCAGGCTGACAATTTCTAGCTTATCTCTTGCCATGTCAAAGCATGTAGAAGGGGAAGCACTACACACATTCCATCCCAGTGCTACATAAAAAGTAGCTTCACCCACATTACTGTGAAAAACACACAGAAACAGCTGCAACTTCAAATGAAGTTGGGAGGGATCATCACTCCTTGTGGTTGTTACGAAGCAACATATTTGTGCATTTCTGCATACATGGAGATACACTGCATTCCTGCTGAACACATCGACATGTAAATTAACATTTTTCAGCAAAATAACTGCGGCTGTTTTTTTTAAACAAGGAAATGTGAAACATCATTTTGTTATATATTTGATGAAATATATTATGATGTGTAATTATTTAAATTAAAACCTTTAATGATTTTAATCTATTTTTCTACAATACTTTTTTTTTTAAGAATCATATGGTTTAGAGCCTTACGCTGTTCTAATCTGGACAACAGTAATAATGTCAGAACAGAGAAATCTTTCACACCTGCAACTGGCTAGAACACAGCCATAATCACAGAAGAGTTTCCAAATAAGTAGTGTGCTCTTGAGGTTAAGAAAGGGAGCCATGTTCATGCTGTTAGTATTCTTTGTGTTTCACTTCGAGGGTTTGAACACCCTGGCATATGTACATTATCAACATCAATTGAGTTTAAGTGTTCATAGGACAGAATTAATTTACTTGATCTGTTTAGAGAATACAAACAAGATTTAAGAACTGTGGCCTCTTTCCACAGCTGTTTAAATATCTTGGATGGTTAATGAAGATTAGTACATAAAACTTTGCATTGACGCATGCCAGTGGTCACTTGCCCCTATGCTAAAGTTACTTACTTTCATAAGATGAATGAAAGGAACCTCCCTGCCATCTCTTGGTAAAAAAAACACAAACTGTTTGTGACTTCGCAACAGTAGGAGTCATATGTTCTGTAGAAACTTGCCAACCAAAAGTTCTTTAAATGAAAAGTTTTAGAAGAGGCCATTTCTGTGGTAGGAAGATTGAGCTAGCGTTATTAAGCATTGAATGCAGAACCAAACACATTTGAACTGTTTCTGAAGGCATTAGGGTGCAAGTAGAGTGTTTGAAAGAAGAGAGAAAATCGGGAAATGCACGAGGATCATTATCTTGGATGGATGTTATGCAGCTCCTGAGCAGTGCTCACTAGCCTACATGTTCCAGGGGAAAAGTCTATTAATTCATATCAAGTAGTAAGTTTCACCAAGTTCTGTAGAGATAGGACCAAGGAATTTTGATTTTATGATAGCAATTTTGACCGTTTTGAGTACAGAAGGAATATAATAATATTTAAAAATTCGATTTCAGCTGCACAGAAAACTTACTATAAAGACCATCAAGTTAATGCTGTATATGGAAATAATTGCTGTTTATTGTGAGAATGACACATAAGAGAGCCAGTACGTTGTGTGGGCAAAATGTTGAGGATTTAATGTTAATATAGTTACCACTGAAATTTAAATGGTTAATAAATATATGGAATCTGTGTTGGGTTTGAGGTTCTCGTAACGGTACAGTCTTCTGGGATATAACGCCGTATATTTCAGAGACATCCCGACGTTAGGAGGCGACGAAAAGCGAACCCAGAGCCTGGAGGTATAAATAAGGGGAACTGGCCTTCTAGGTTGGGGGTATCTCGAATCTTGAGACGATACACCCGTCTTCGTGTCAAAGTTACATAAGGAGTATAACCGTAAGTGGAAAATAAAATTACTGTGTCGTGAGTCTCGAGGAGCTTGTCGCCAAGACGAACTGATTGGAGGTAAAACCGCCAGTCATAAATTAAATTGACTGTGACATCCCGACGTTTGCCCGCATGTTGCTTGCTGGTTGCCTGCTTGAATTACTGGAGGCAGTACGTACCTCCGAAACACCGGCAAACATCTACCAAACTACACGGCGTCTTATCCCAGAAGATAGTACGGTTCATAGGGAACTGAGTTTGGCGCTAGTTGCACAGGTTTCGAAATGGGCGACCCGTTTGCAGTGCTCCCAGACTAGCTATTGTTACGCATTTTTACATCACAGTTACTAGAGTTGTCCCGGACAGAAATACAGCAGTCACAGAAACTTATCTTCTCGTTCCAACAAGAATTGTCAGTGGTCCAAAGTTTATGCTATTTCATGGTGTAGCTGAGATCGTTTTATAACTGAGCTGTCAGTTGTCCCTAGGCTTAATGGGGGAGTGCATGTATAGATACACGTATTCTTTACCTCGGCACTAGTTGAAGGTAAATGGTCAACTTTACCCCCGGAGAAAGGGGCCCTTATACCCATTTGATAAAAGGCTCCGTGGGCCTAAGCGCTGGCCAGGACGCTGTGGAGTAGAGAAAAAATATCTTGCTTCTACCGGGTGTCGATGACCAACCCATAGTGTGTTGCTATACCGACGGAGCCACTTAGGCAGGGTAAATGTATTCCACCTAGTGACATGACACTCCCACAGCAGCTACCCAAACGTGCGACAGAAACATTCTAGCGGGAGCTTAGATGGGCTGTGCATGCAGCACACATGGAATACCCGAGAACTCCGTACACAGTTTAGGTCAGAATATTTAAAGGGAACAGATTATATGCTTAGATGGAAGGATAATATTGAAGTGGATTTTAGAGAAATGCACTCGGATGTAAACCAGCCCAAGTGTTGGACGACCGAGGAATTGGAATTCGATTCCCAACAGGGGAAAGAGACCTCTTCTTCGTGGCGTCCAGACCGACTCTGGGACCCACCCATAGTCCAGTCCTTGGGTACGGAACACCAACCCTGAGGGTAAAGTGGCCGGAACGCGAGGCTGCCGCTCACCATCCAGTGCCGAGGATAAGAATGCCTGGGGCTATACCTTCACTCCTCCATACTTCTTCATGGCGTAATTCTTAAGCATGGGGACTTTACCTTGAAGGAATAAGTTGTGATGGTTTGGAGTGGACTCAAATGACTCTGGTTAGGGACCTGTGATGAATTATGACGAAGACGGTAATGAATCTTTTGGTTCAATGAAAGGTGGGGAAAGTTTTGACTAGATGAGCAACTGCCAGCTCTTCAAAAAGTACCTTGCTTCATGGAGTCAAGTTATGATAACGCGTTGAACGGTGAAATCGTTTATCAAATTTATCCCATGTGCAGTGGCGGCTCGTAGCTAAAATTAGTGGGGGTGCTGCTCCAGAAGCGCACAGTTCCATACAAAGATTTGGCTACTGACATTAAGCTTAAGGATTATATATTGTATTGTACAAGTATAAAGAAAGAATTAAAGAAAAAAGGACTCATTATATAAATGTTATCGATAATATCACGTGGAAATTGGGGGGGGGGGCTGCAGTTCCGCAGTGCCTATACACGGGCCGCCCCTGCCCATGTGTCTGTGATGATTTATTTTTTGATGGGCACTTTCTTGGTTTCCGGAGAAAGGAAGCCGCTATAATGGAGAAACTTTCCATCGAAACTACAAGCGGTTTGGGCTTAATGGACGAAGGGCAATTTAGCAAAAGTAGGTAACTTTTTACGAGGCAGGTTCAGCTGACTTGGACACTGGAGACTGAGTCAGCGTTGCAGCGAATGTCTCTTCTGCTTCGAAATCTTTCAGCTGTGTAACGTACGTGGTTAAGATGAAGGAACAGGTTACAAGAACTTGTCCATATTTCAAGGTCTCGGGGAGGTGTTGTGATTCGTTGGTTTAAATAATGAAGAAGGCCAGACTCCTTAAGCGCAGTGTTATAAATCCGGATAACCTTGGATATAAAGAACAGCAGGAGAGACCTTTGCCAAATGGTTTCAACCTGACGTGAATACATTCATGTCTCCAAGGAGGCCTACAGGAAGCGTCATCCCGAAACGAGTTATACATGGCAGTTTTAACAGATCTTCACAGAAACTCATTAGATTATTCTACAGGGCAGGATTTAAGGGGCACCA